CAGGGAAGCACTTATTCCACTGAGCCATCTCCCCCCCCCCTTTTTTTAAATGAGCAGAATATATTTATTGAGAGAAAGCTCCTGTGCAAGAGAGGGACAGGAGGGGGGCCCGAGTGGGTAGTTCCCTGGGAAGCTGTCTCTTCCAGGGACTTGTATAGTGTAAAACCTTGTGAGGCTAAGGTAGAGAGAATGGGAACTCGCTTAGGTGGGCAGGAGGTGGGACAAAATTATGATCATAAAAATTTGTTACCTAAGCAAGTCCCAATCCAGAATTTATGAAAGAAAAACAAACTCATACCTCCATCCAGTGATAAAAATGATCTCCCAACCTGAATGAATTTTAGGAACAAACAGAGGGTATGAGCAGAATATATTTATTGAGAGAAAGAAAGCTCCTGTCCAAGAGAGTTTCATGAGGGGGGCCTGAGCGGGTAGTTCCCCCTGCCTTAGTCTTATTGGTCAGTGCACTGTGTCAGCTTGTTAGGACTGTACTTACTTGCTCATTTTCCGGCTCACTTTGTTCATTTTTTCCTATGTTTTCCCTTCCTCCTTTTTTTTTTTTTTTTTTTGGCGGAACTAGGGTTTGAACTCAGGCACTTGGGCTTGCCAGGCAAGTGCTTATTCTACTGAGCTATCTCCCCGGCCCCCCTTTCCTCCTTCTTTTTTTTTTTGGCAGAACCGGGGATTGAACTCAGGCCCTTGCACTTGCCAGGGAAGCCCCTATTCCACTGAGCCATCTCCCTGGCCCCGCTTTCCTCCTTCTTAATTGAAGAGTGTCTCTATAACAGACCATCCTTGAATGAATTTATAGTCTTTTGTTAAAAGATTGAAATACTGCCTAGGAAATGGCAGTATCCCAAATAAAACATTTAAAAAAGATATGCTGTATGAAAGATAAAAGAATATTTAGGTACATATTTGAATTTGATTGCTGTTACATATATATAATGCAAAACAGCATCTGGCAAACAATTTGAGGCAGGAAGAATGATACTAGAGATTGACCCTGGACTTGGTGCATATTGAACACATAATTTATCACTGAGCTACACACTAGCCCAATCAGTTTTTGCTTATATAGGTAGAGCAGAATTAATGTCATTTACAGACTGTTTAATTTCCATTAGGTGTGTCACTAGAGTTACTGCTGGTTTAGCTGAACTAACAGGTGCAAAACTTTCACTGTTGATGTATAGTTGGATACTTGGTGGGGACGGGAACAGGAACTTACCTTTTTTGGTTGATTTGGTTGAGGTTCTTTTTTTCTTTTCTTTTTTTGCTCCGAATGCCTTCGGGGCAGGTTTGGCTGGCTTGAGTTGTGGGGATGGAACCACAGCAACTTGAGCCTGAACTGCTTTGTTGAAGCAGCCACTTAAAGAGCTGAGCTAAGGGGCAGGCCCCCTTTTCTTTTGTTTTTGTTTTTTTTTTAATTAATTAATTAATTTATTTATTTTGTGTGTGTGTGGCCAGCTCAGCCCACCAAGGGGCTGGGCTGGCTGGCATGTGGTGCTGGGGATTGAACCGCGGTCCCTGTGCTTTTGCTTAGCTTAGCTTGTTCTAAGTAGGTGCTTAAGACCACTGAGCCATCTCACCAGCCCTTCTTTTGTTTTTGATACAGTCTCACTTTGGTAGTATAGGTTGACCTCAAACTCCTGGCCATATTCCTGTCTGAGCCTTGAGTCGTGGGCTTATAGGCGTGTGCCACCATTGGTAGAACATACTGTTTCTTTTGGAAAAATTGTTTGTTCAGGCCTCAGCATTAAGAATTGAAAACAGTAATGACTTACTTTTTCCCTTGAAAATTGTTCTTCCAAAATAAGGTTGAAGAAATAAGAAAGGATAAAGTTTGTTCTGTTTGCCGAGCAGACAAACACTAGTTGACTGGGTAGAAAATTTAAATGCTAGAACAGTAACCTTTTAAGCCTGGTAGACATTCCAGTGAGTCTGTCAGTGCCTATACTCAGCTGACACACATTAGTTGTGATAATATCATCAACCCAAAGGAATTCAAGCAGGTTAACAGTTCCTTGTATTTTGTGCTATAGTGAATGCAAACCATTGTTCTTTGAGTTGTTTTAATAATCTTGCCCACTTATAAGGTCACAGAGTTGTAGATGATCATCCAAACAGATGGTTTAAGAAAAGTTATACTCAAAAGGATTGTGACTTAAATTATGTGGCTGTGGCTGGGGAGACAGCTCAGAGGCATAAGCACCTATCTGGCAAGCGCAAGGTACTGACCCAGTGTGATCCCCGGCCCCCGGCCCTGCATGTTGTGCAGGCCTCAGGTGCACCATCATGGCCCCAGAAATAGGCATGGTGGTATACTCCTGTAACTCAGGAGCTTGAGACAGGATGATCCCTGCAAGTTCAAGACCTTCCTGGGGGTTACAAAAGTGAGCACAAGGTCCGGGGAGATGGCTCAGTGGAATAAGCGCTTCCTGGCAAGTGCAAAGGCCTCAGTTCAATCCCTGGTTCTGCAAAAAAAAAAAAGAAAAAAAAGTGAGCACAAGCTTAGCCCAAACTGTATATCTAGATCCTGTCTCAAAAACAAACAAAGAGGGCTGGAGAGATGGCTCAGTGGTCTAAGGCACCTACTTAGAACAAGCTTGGCAAAGCA